CTCCAAGCAGTGCGCAGAACTTACGGAATGTCAGGCATGGTGAGTTTGTGGAGAAGTAATGTTCTATACAAAAAGCTCTCTGCTCTTTACTAAACGTAACCATGATCTAAGCAGGTGAACAAATTTGGGAAAAATGGCATCTGCAGACTTGTGTTGACTTGTTAGACTGCTGTAGCTTGCAATAGGGCACGACTGTTGCAACTTTTAGTGGTAGGCCTAATGCGAACTGGCGCATCATGCTATGAAAATGGAGACAAGATTGAAAATGGGTTGTTTTGTTAATGCGCTATACAGAGCAAAACCTTCAATGGACTTATCTAAAATACATATAGGACAAATTCCGTTTCCCTTCCAAATGTTACGTTCAAATCTTAAACGCAAAACATCAGTATGGAGGAAGATATTTAAAAAACAAGTAATAACGTTTTTTTAAATCACCCTGTAAGAACAGAAAATGAATGAGTAAGAGACTGTATCCTGATAAGAAAAGAAACTTTAAAACAAATCTCACAAGTGTCGTGATAAATCGGACAAGTGAAATTGAGTACATATTTTAGGAGAAGGAAAAAACACTGATTTATTAAAAGGACAACCTGGATTAACCATTTTTATACTGTTAAAAAAATTTACTTTTGATTGTTTTTTAAATACACATTTTAACCAGCATAATATGAAACATGCTTCGTAGATCACATTCGCGAAAAAGAAAGCAAAATCGAAAATTTTGTTGTTATCCGATTTTATCACGCTGGCGACACTATGTGGTTCCTGTTCTGCTGTTGTTATTGTTGTGGTAAAAGAAGTTGTTGTTGTCGTTGTTGTTGTTCGTGGTGGTGGTGGTGGTGATGCTGCTGCTGCTTCTGCTACCATTTTTTGTTCTGTTTTGCTTTTGTTTTGTTCTTTTGGTTGGGTTTCGCGCTGTTTTCATCCTATATAATATGTAGGTGTTCTCATACCCCCATCGACACAATGTAAACCATTTAAAAGGCGATCTTCCCATCGTGCAACTCAGGGATATGCCGAGCTATATATATTTTTTATATAATATATTATTATATTTTATA